ACAAAAGTCCGTTGATGATAGAAAAGTGATGCATATGAATAGTAAAGTATCACAATAGTCCGGTAAATAAAAGGAAAAGTCCGCTAAATTAAGCGAAACGTGCGCTAAGAGGTAGGACGTGGATAGATAATATTACTTTTCGTTAAATTTGATAATATTTTGTCCGAGTAATAAAGTCCCTTTATTCTCCAGCGGACTTTTGCTAAAGCGGACATTTTCTGGATCTATGCCAGCCCTCATACGTTCCAGATAGAATCATCTCAGTATTTCAGAAATGCTTCTCTCCAAAAAGAACTCTTTCCAGGAATCTCAAAGGATTCTCATAAGAATCGTTACCAAGTTCTTTTTTTGTTGCCTATGAAACTAGGAGAACCTTTCGCTTTTTTAGAGCATGTTAGAGAAAGACATTCTCGAAAGTTTTATCAAGTTCTCTTCGAAGAAGAATTTGTTATTCATAGATAACGACGATAACGATTCTTTTTCTCGTTCATTGTAGTTATCCCCGATATTCCAGCCGATGCCCGATGGGCACAGAATGGTGTGACCGTTGCTGGAGGCCATGGAGAAGGCAGTGCCACAAATCAATTCTACTGGCCTCATGGTCTCTTCGTTGATGATGATCAAACGATTGTCATCGCTGACCGGTGGAATAATCGTATCATTCAATGGAAGAAGGGTGATGCGAATGGACAAGTCGTAGCTGGTGGCAATGGCGAAGGAGATCGATTGGATCAATTGAATCGACCAACCGATATGCTGATCGACAAAGAGACTAATAGTCTCATTATCTGCAATCCTGGACGAGTCGTGCGATGGTCTCGTCACAGTGGCACAACTCAAGGAGAAATCCTCATCGACAACATCGATCCTTTTGGATTGGCCATGGATGATCAGAGATATCTCTACATCTCTGACTACAAGAAACATGAAGTAAGACGATATCAAATAGGAGACAAGAATGGAACTCTCGTGGCTGGTGGCAATGGCGAAGGTGATGGTCTCAATCAACTCAACGAGCCGAAATACCTCTTTGTCGATCAACAACAGACTGTCTACGTGTCAGACAACAACAATCATCGTGTGATGAAATGGAATAAAGGTGCAAAAGAAGGAATTGTCGTCGCTGGAGGTCACAGCGAAGGGAATGCTCTGACACAATTGTCGCATCCTGCAGGACTATTCGTCGACACGTTGGGTACCATCTATGTGGCAGACTCGTGGAATAATCGAGTGATGCTTTGGCCTAAAGAAGCGACACAAGGCACTGTCATTGTTGGTGGAAATGGCTGCGGAGAAGGCGCAAATCAGTTCTACTATCCTCATGGTTTGTCCTTCGATCGACAATACAATCTGTACGTCGTCGATTGTTATAGTAATCGTGTTCAACGATTTTCAATCGAATAAACTCAACACGATGGATTTTTTTCCTTCCTTTCAAATAAATTCACGTTGAATTAATGAAATGAATTCTTATTCTATCCGCGCGCGCGCGACCAGAAGCTACCCTGGTGGAGCCGTAGCGAGCGTAAGGCTCATGCACGCGTGGAAAGACCCACGCCATCTACATGCACCCATCCGATGTCATGTGTCAGTGAGTCTGGGGGCCCAGTCGTGTGCCACGGACACCAAAGAAGTTGCTGGCCGGGCTTTTAGGGACTACCCGAAAGTCCTTCATATAACGCGAACCTAACCTCAACGGACAGAACTCACCCTCTATTCTCATACTCAAAAAAGAAAAAAAAGTAACTCACCCTGTTAACGATCACGTGATGCGATGATATTGATGACTAAAAGGAAAAGAAAAGAAATGAATTATTAAAAAAAATCATAGAAGGACTTACCATCCTCGATATGATATAAAAAAGAAAAAAAATTAAAATTAAAACTAATACCTACATATTATTTTATGGTCTTGCTCGATGTTGAATTGTTCCATATCATGTTGTTGCAATCGTTCTAAAATAGAAAAAAAAAAGATTATTATATGATTCAATAAATTGAATGATTTTACATAGAAAGTCATTCATATTTATACGCTACAAGAACATTAATTATGTCATGTTATCATTGATCATCAATGATAACATGTACGATAAGTTGCGGACGAGAGAAGAAAAGAAAAAAAAAGATTATCGTCTTGACTTATATTTTTTTTCATTAAGTCGGCTGACTGCACTTCGTGCAGTCAGCCGACTTATTGCTTTTCACAAGCTTAGTTGCCATGGCAAATTCTTCTTCTTATTCATCCGCTCGACGCATGAGTCATGATTCGAGTCAGCCACTCGTTCTCAGCACCTAAACATCATTTTCAGTGGAAAAAAAGCTTGGCGAAATCGTGAGAACGTGACGAGTGCACATCTGAAATCCGTTTTTCAAAATTCGGCACCATTCGGGAGATATAAGATATGAGGAAAACAATAATTAATAGCTGATAGTTTCCTTTTATGACAGTGCATGATTCAATCTTAGATGACCATTCATGTATAAGATGTCAAATGCATATATATTTTAATTCTCGTCTTACATGGCTTAAATTCGTCCATGAAAGAGTCTCAAACGTTTAGAAAAATCTCTTCATGGTTTAAACAGATGAAATACGAAGAACAATAAATAATGAACAGCTGAGAGCTTCCTTATATGGAACTTTATGATTCAGATTCATTATGATTTCGTCTACACGCGTCTTGGGTTTAGAAATAGTAGATGTCGTATAGGATCAGATTTCGATGTTTTTTGGGCTCGTGCAGTCAGCCGACTTCTCTACCCGGCCGTGGGTCGGGTGGAATTCTAGTTTTGTTTTCTTTTTATCGGTAAACTTCATACGAGAGGTTTCATTAATTAAGACTTGAATATGTTGAATNACTTCTCTACCCGGCCTTGTATCGGTTGGATTTCTAGTTTTTCTCTCTCTTGTATATTCATTTGTGAGCACACGAGGCAGACGACGAACACGCACACATTACTCAAGTATGTGCTCATCATTCATTTCTATTTTTACAGTGATATAATGATATTTCGGTTGGAACGTGAACTATTAGTTTATGGTATTGTTGTTGTTGTTGTTGTTGTTTAAAAAGAGTAAGATATTTTATCTAAATTGTTCAATACTTTTAATGCAACACAAAAAGAAATTTAATTAGTAAAATGTTATGAAATTTTTATGTTGATAGAAGTCTTGATTAATTCGTAAAAATGATGATATTAATATATATTATACTTAATAGAAATGTTCCTTAAACAGTGTAAAAAGAGGAAAAGTTACATATACGATGTGGTCAAATGATATGAATTATCATTATTCGGATGATTCAGGCGTTTTTCTTCCTACAACATGAAATCATATTAAGTATACACTTATTAATGATGATCATGGAATTATTCATATACTTGATTTAGATATTTATATAACAAAAGTTAAAATAATAGAAAATACGATGAAATAAGATTTACAAATTTCTTTTTTAAAATAGTTTCGACTATTTATTTTGTTTTTTGTTTAGCTGATGCACT